AATAACTGAATAAATATATATATTTTTATTTATTTTATCTTTGACGTTTCATTTTCCTTCCTCTCTCTTATATTCTACAAATATTAGTGTTTAAAATTACACTTAAGAGAAAAAATAAAAAAAAGGGTATATACAATTATAATTATATATATTATAAATGTTATTAATTAGTGAATATAGAATAAAAAATATATATTTTATATGTTTTCACTTCTATCTTGAGGTCTTAAGCACACACCATAGTTTTTTATAATACTTTAATGGAAAATGGAATTATTAATTTTTTTTACTACCTAGATTTTTACTTATTTTATTTAATTATGTATTTTTTACTTGACAATCTAGTAACTAGATTCCAGTTATTTTAAAAAAGAAAATTTTAGTTTAAATCTTATGAAACGAATTACTTATCTTATCATTTACAGTATTAATCATGTTTTAACAAAGACATTGGGTCATAAAGTAATACCCCTCTCTACTCAGTGGATTAATAAAGACTGAGTGCTAAAAACTGTAATAGATGCATACCAAATACTAAAATCCTTTTCTATCTTAAAATGCCTAAGGGAAACAAAAAATAGTCTCTATAATAGAATGCAATTGGTATCCATTTTGTTGAAACACAAGGGAGAGAGAGGGGAAATAGAAGAAATTCTTTTTCCATTAATTTCTGTCACTTTATTACTTATTTAATTATTAAAGTGACATTACCTTCCAAAAATACTTTTATTAAAAACTATTTATAATACATAAATACCATATATATGCAGTTTATTTGAAAATAGTCTCTATAATAGTATGCATTGGTATCCCTTTTGTTGAAATGCAAGGGAGTGAGAGGGGAAATAGAAGAAATTCTTTTTCCATTAATTTCTATCACTTTCTTACTTATTTTCTTTTTATTAAAAACTATTTATAATACATAAATACTATGTATATATATATATTGCACAAGTCACTGCCATTGATAGAAGCTTTCTTTGTTTCATTGCTATTTATTAGTGATACATAATTAGTGATATGTGCATATATTTGGAAAAAATAAAACAGAATACTCGGTACGGGGTTTGGGCACGTTCAGACTGCGACTGTGCCTATTCATCCCATTTAGAACCTCTTAAAAAAGATGAAACATAATTTTATTGGAGGCACTGCTGTTTTCTTTTTGAAAAAATAAAAATAATATGCCTCCAATCGGTAAAAAAATAAAGTAGCAATAAATAGAAAAAGAATTTCAGAAAAAATTATTTACAGTGACAAGATTGGTTGTTAGTTTTTCAACATTTTAAAAGAAGCAAATTATGAAAGAAAGACCTAATATATCTACACCTAAATTAATTGCAACCCACCTTCTAACTACACCCTTGATATGACAGATATATATTGTTTTGTTGAAAAAAAGATTCATTGTTGGGTTTTACAGAAACTGTATACAATATTCCTATCATTCACAGATGGATCTACGGGACAGGGGAGGGAGGGGATAGGGGCTTTTGGGCTGAAGCTACCTCCCAAAATGGTAAAACATAACCGTATTTTACAGCAAAAAATCTTAAAAACTATTTCTTTAAGTATTCTTGTTCGTGTAATTACATTTAATAGGACTTCAAGAACCACTTAACACCATTTCATACAGTTAGTTAATTTCTTATACTTTTTTCAAATTAATTATCGTTATATATATATATATATATATATATATATATATATATATATATATATATATATATATATATAAAATGATAATTAATTTGAAAAAAATATAAGAAATTAACTAACTGTATGCATTTATATATATTTCCCTTCCTTCCGAAGACAATATTTCCTAGGCACATTCCTTTATCAAATAATCAATAATCATCGTCCGACCAACGCATACAATCTCCTACAATTCAAATCATCAAACCCTCTCCACAAGATCTCGTCCTTCTGACCTTTACACCTCTTTCCACGGATCTGTATCATTTAAACATTCCTTCGGTCTCCGTTCCAGTGCATTCTGGAATTCCATCCCACTAAAAATCCGCCATGCATCATCCTTATCCACCTTTAAAACCCTCTTCACAATCCAATCAGACGCTGGTTAAATACATATTATGTAATAAGGCTTTAATTTTCTTTAGACATTATTTTTTCTCTTATTTTTTAAAAAATAATAATAATGTATATATATATATATATATTTTACTAATATTAACTAATACTTCTCTATATTTATATATAAGTTCATATATCGTCCTAAGGATAGAAGAGTATGCTGTGTATATAGCAACACAATATAATTGGGCAGGAATCCTTTATATTTTATGAAAATAAAGTGTTTCTCCATCTCTTTATTCAGTGTTGAACGTGAATTTTCATCACCACTTACAAAGCGTGATGAGTAGATAAATTTGTTTTTCTTAATTTCTAATTTTTCTATTCATGAGATTGTATTTCTTTGAAATGTATTTTATTTCCTAATTATTTTCAACACACTCCTCGCTATGTATATATATATATATATATATATATATATATATATACACTTTATACTATTTTTTCTTCTCCTAATCTTTATGCTAAATCACTTAAATATCTTAGGGAACAAATGCATATATATCATTTTTTTTTTTTTTACAATTTATTTCTTTATATATTAATAGTTATTATTTTTTTTTTTTCAATTTTTATATTCCATCACTACAATGCTTTGCCTATAAAAATGATTTTGTGTTCCTTTCAAATTTCATTTAGTGATTATTATGCTATTGTTTTAGCTCCAATATTGTAGTACTGAATCCCTATTACCCAACTGTTCTCGTTAATTTATCCTAAGAGCTATTATACTTAATCTATAACTAGTATTTTGTTATTATTCATTGTAATAGGTCTTTTGGCCAGATTTATGGTTAATTTATATGAACAATACTGTTATTCTAAAGGGACTTAGTCCCAGAATAAAGATGATTTTTCTATCCTATTCTATATATATGAAAAAATAAAGCTTTTGGGCTGAAGGCTCTCCAAAATTAAATCCTGGATCCGCTAGTGGTATCATTTATATTTGTGACTTCAAAAATGTGCATAGCTGGAGTCTTATGACAGATCTATTGGTATAACATTGTAATATTAGTTTAGAGCTAGTCAGTTGGTTTAATAAGGAACCTGCCAGATACAATGAAAACAAGGTAATGTAAAATAGGATGGATTGGGTAAATATAAGATATGCTTGAGGTAGAAACAAATTTCTGAGCTAAAAATAATCGTGGTAGCAGGATAGTTCAAGACTTGTTATACAATTATCTTACACCCACAAATGAAATCTTTAAAGTCTGGGTAATCTTCCTTAGTTATAAGTTGAGGAAACTCATTCTCTAATATAGTAAAATGTTACTCAACAAAGAGGAAATATTTTCAGCTGAGAAAAATGATATATGGAAGGGGCTTTCGAGGTGAAGCCACCCTCAGAATGGTAAAATGTAATCATGTTTTATGATAAAAAATTATCTCTTAAAGTATTATTGTTTGTGTAATTACATTTAATAAGACTCACTTAAACACCATTTCATATATGTAGCTAGTTTCTTTCTTTTTTTTTCAAAGTAGTTATCATTATGCAAAAAAAAAACTTTTGGGCTAAAGCCTTCCCAAAATGAAATCTTTGATCCGCTAGTGACAGCAGCCAACCCGTCCCCTCAACCGGTCAAAATTTCTCAATTATATTCAATAAAAAAGTCCCAAATCAATTATTAATAAGACAAACACTTTAATTTTTAAATAAAAAATGTGAAAATGCTGCAAAAAAAAGTTAATATTGAAATAATCATTGATTATCTATTTTAAAATTGACCAGAGATTACCTTCAAGGCTGCTTGAAAATTAAAGTTTTTCAGTAATCATAATTATAATTAAAGGATTAAAGACAATTTTATATTTAAAGGATTAAAGACAATTTTATATTTAAAGGATAATATGATATATTTTTAAACTTATAAAGACAGAAGCCCTCATTTTCCCTGGCGCCCTCCTCCAGCGACCCGTACTTAATAAAATTAGAGTATTAACTTTTAAGTTTATTTTAAGTTTTCTTAAACCACAATATGTTATGGGAGGGATAGCTCAGTGGGTAAGGCACTGAGTCAAGAAGAAAAACCTTGAAACAGTACTTCCCTACTAAGTAATAAACCCAAGACCCTCCTCCATGGGTTGTAATGGTACAGGTTTCTAAAAATTTATTTTATGTGATAAAACTTAAACAATGAAGAGTGTAGTTTTTAATATAGTTTAGACACTTCAAATCCTCATACATTCCTCTTAAACAAAACTGACTTAAAGTTGTGAAAAAATATAAATAAAACAAATGTCTGTTCTTTAATTTTATGTTTTTATTCATCTTAAATCACAATAATGGAATTCATACCCTGCTTTTTTTTTTAAACTCATTTGTCTTAGATAAAATTGTAATTATTAAAATATTCTACAAAACTGGTAACATACTGTACATAATAGGATTTTTAAAATTAAAATGACTGCCGAAAATCACAGAGTCATACTCTAAACATAACATGACTAGAAAAAATAGTAATATACATCATCATGCTGTGTTTTTAATTTCTTCCTCTTCTGTCTTATGTTTCGCCTTTGATTTCAACAGAGTGCTTAAAACAATTCCTATAAATAAAATTAAGCCAATGTTTTTGTTTGAAATAAATTTGTTAGCACAATCGGCAGGTATATTGACATCAAGAGTGTATAATTGCCGAGCAAGATGTACTGCTATAGTTGCTACAGAAATATAAAAAGGCCAGGTTTGCTCAGATAACATTCCACTAGTTAAAAGACCGGAAATCATTCCTGAAGAGAATAATGATAGCCACAACTTTGTATCATTCCCAAACTTGATGGCAGTAGATTTGATGCCCAGAAGAATATCATCAGGAACGTCTTGGTGGGCATATATTGTATCATATATTATAGTCCAACAAACACCAGATAAATATAAAGGTATACAAACTGACCAGTCACAGGAACCTTGAACTGCAGACCAGCCAAGAAGTGCTCCCCAATTGAAGGTCATGCCCAAAACTAGTTGTGGCCAATAAGTGACTCTTTTCATAAGAGGGTAAGCAACAACAAGTACTAAAGAACTAGCTCCTAGAAATACACTGTACCAATTAAGTTGTAGTAGTATTGTGAGAGCAACACTTAATTGCGCAGCAAGGAACATCCAAGCATCACTAGTTGAAACAGATCCAGTAACTAATGGTCTGTCTTTGGTCCTTTCAACCTTTTTATCAAGGTCCTTATCCCACATATCATTGATAGTACAGCCAGCTCCTCTCATTACAAACGCACCAGCACCAAACAAAGCAATCATTTTGAGATCTGGTAATGCACCTGCTTGGGCTGCCATTGCTATACTCCATCCGCAAGGCCAAAATAACAACCATGTTCCTATAGGTTTATCTATTCTCATCAACCTTAGATATGGCTGTACTATTGGTGATGATCTGCTGACTAATAAAGATGCTAAGTTTTGGGTAGGCTGTTTAAATGAGGAAACATTCCTGGCCTGGGTAACAGACAAAACATTATATCTAATATGATTTTGATTAGTCCTGGCATCACTTCTGTAATCACATGCCAATGGTATTCTTGCTATTGTTAAAACCTGAGATAAATTATTACGTTTGAAGAAATTTTGGAGAACTAATCTCCCACAGTGGCAATTCATGATAATTTCTGTAATTAGCGATCACATTCTGTTTGATTACCTCCCGGAATACTTGTAAGAGAAATGAAGTAACCGAGGCAGATTATTAATAGGATTAAAGTCCATCTTATGTTAAAAATTATGAACTTTTATTATAACACAATCACTTGATAGCAAGATAACCTGAACATAACCTGCCGCAGACGATCAGGGTTAAATGCAGTGTTGCCCCTAAGCAATTTTTTTAAACCTGAAGTAAAATTTTTCCTAGAAATACAAAATTTAAAAATATGTAATTTGTTTGAAGATTTTTTTATTGAAAGATAAAAGTAGGAAATACCTAATGATCATTTTATGACAATCGAAAAATGTAGCAATTAACCCCTTGGCTCTTGATGTATCATGAACAGAAAAAGGAGGAGAAAAATTCTCGGGACTCGGATAAGAGTTTACTAAAAACCTTTTACATAACTAAAATGTTTGTTGAAAAAATATATTCAAATAAAAAAATCATATCAATCAATATTAAGTAATATCACATACTTGTATCATTATCTGAAAGTGTTGCCTAATTAAGAAATATGTTGGTTATAAAGAGAAAATAATGAGTTTATCTATACAGTCTGGTTAGCAAGAGCATTCTATTTTGACTACCTTATTCACTTTCGAAGAAAATTAGTGAAGCAGAAGATTCTTGAAGTTAAAATTCTACTTGTATCTTATGGGCTAAAGTAATTAATGAAAGTGGTTCCAGAAGTGGTTCTCATGACCCAATCATTAAAGTTGTCAATGGGGACATCTTTTAATGAAGTTTTCAATATTTAAGGGAGGCACTTGTCAACGGCTATCAATTTTTGAAATAAAAAGGTTCAAACAATGGGACAAGGAGAAAATATGGCACAGAATGTAGCAAGTGTAATTGTATATGATTTGCGATTTTTTAAATTGCATTTGGGCTTGCACTTGCACTGTTTATAAAAATAGGAGAGCAATAAGGAGATTTACGTTCATGCGCCATCGACCTTAGGGGTATAGGAACCCTCTGATTGTGTATCAATATCTGAAAAAAGCAATCCAATCTCCCTGTCTAATTCTGACAGAGAACCTATGGGATGAAATAAATTTCAATGCAAGAAAAAAACAGGGAACAGAAATGAATAAAAAATTATTTTCATTTTATTTTGCTTAATTTATCTTTAGACCAATCGTTTTACTACATAAATAAATGCAACGAAGGAAAGCACCTGATATCTTTTTGTTACATACACTAAAATTTTTGTCTAAAATTTGGTTTAGTACATAATGTGAATTGTGTACCAAAAGAAGGTTTTCGGCTGAGAAACAATCAGGGAATGCAACGCTTCCAAACAAGTGTTTGAAAAATTTGTAATATTAAGTTTTAATTTTTAATAATAATAAAATACTTTCTCTTATTATATATTCCAAGTAGGGATAAGTGAAAGTAAACGAAAAAAAATCGATAATTGATGTATTACACTGATTACCTATATGGCACCTACTTCTTTTTTTCCCAAGTGAAGTGTTTATTATTATAAATATTGCAATTATTTTCAATCATAAATCCATAGCTAATTATAAAAGCTGCAAGGTATGTTATTAACACAGCTTGCACGAGGTGCTCCACAGCCGGCTGATTCAGGAAATCTAGCGGGACAAAGGTCGAAATATTGATAGTGAATATTTTTATGGAAAATAAAATTCAATGCCTGTTTATACATCGGCGCAGTTAGGAAAAAGAGAGCTAACCAACCAACATGAATAAACATGATTAAAAATATTGAAAGTAGAAAGACATTTATCCAGTCCTAGCTGACGCAACTAACGCTCAACTTCTGTTTGTAAATATTGTGCTTATTCTCTCACCTCATTTAATTTTTCCTATTTCACTTAATTCACATCATTTCCTAAGGTATTTACTTTATAATATTAATGTCAATGGAACGTAAGATTTTAAATATGCATAACCTTAGCACAGCTAATTCATAGTCCGAAAACGAAAAAACTAAAAATGATATTTACGTAAACTTCATTTAAAATTAAATTACTTTTACTAATTGTTAATAATTTATACTTTTAAATACTTGAAAAATTTTTAAATTACACTACAAAATTAATTTTATTTTATACCTTTTTATTAAAATCAGAAAAATTTATCATAATTAATTTTAAAATAAAAGACATCAGAAAAATTTAATAAGTGAAATATTTATCAAATGATGTTTTATTTTTTTAATAATAATTAGTTATTTCGTGGTTTTCTATATAGATGTCGGTTTTGATTTTTGTCCCGGTAGATTGATAGTACAGCCCACTGAACGCTCGATGCAATAAGGGTAGATTCCTCATAACATCTTTATTCTATTTTTTTAATTGATTGGTATTTTTTAGTCAATAAGTTTTTAAGGTTCTATTACTCAAATTAATATATTTCTTCTTTTGATACACGAAGCGATTATATTCATATATATGTATGGTATATTCATTAATATATTGAAGTGATAATTCAGATATTAAGTGGTGTTTATTGTTTTAACTGTTGTTTCTCTAAATAGACTATATTTATTAATAAATATCAAACTAACGCCCTTACAATCTTTGCAACTGTATAATGTATTATTATTTCGGTATAAGTTTTGAATTTGTACTGTTATATGTGGAATTTTGATAATTATATAACAAGAGAAATCTTTTGCTCAGAAAATCGTTACTGTTAAACTAAATTATATAGTATTTATTGAGTGATATAATTTAAATAAAACTGAGCACATTTATAATTCACAAGAAATCATTCACGACATGGGTATAGAGTAAAGACACACACTTTATTTTTATATTAAATTTTATTAACCAAAGTTTTTAAAATGTACAAAAATGTTCGGAGGGACGATTGAGATGGCACTGGTGTGATCCTAAAATTAATAAACGTAGCTGCCGTCAGGTCCTTGGGGCTGCTGTCCGTTGGGTGGAAGGTAGTTCGAGCCTGGGCTGCCACCTCCTGCCAACAAAAATAACGTTAGTGCTCGTACAATTGTTTTGAGGCATTCAAAAAAGAATTCGGGTTTTATTGATGTACCATTCGCTACATAGACTTAAAAAATAAAAAGGTTGTTTTTGTCGTTATAATGCGGCACTTCCGGAGATTTAAAAGTATGAAATATGGTATAATGGTATGGTATGAAGTATGGTATGGTATAAGCTATTTACGATCTGACGGAAATCTCTGGTGCATCTAAGTAAGATTTGCCAAGAAAAAGAAACGATATATTCTTACCGTTTCCACCGCCATTACCAGGTGCTCCATAACCATTTCCAGGGGCTCCACCTCCATTGGTCGGGGCGAGGTAGTTGTTGGATGGCCTGCCGCCTGGATATCCTCCTGCACCGCCACCGTTTCCTCCTGGCCTGCCGCCTGGATATCCTCCTGCTCCGCCGCCGTTTCCTCCTGGCCTGCCCCCAGGGTATCCAGCACCACCGCCGTTTCCGCCAGGTCGACCACTAGGATAGCCACCGCCGCCTCCGTTACCACCAGGTCTGCCACCAGGATATCCAGCACCACCTCCGTTGCCGCCCGGCCTACCGCTAGGGTAACCATTGCCTCCTCCATTACCTTGATGTAAGTAACAGTCAGGTATGATTTAACAGTTTATTAAGAGTACTATAAATATATCTGGACCGGTATTATATTTAGAGGCAAACCGAATCAAATTTAAGGAATCTATACGATTCCTCACTATTATTGATTCGAGCTCGCTAGAATTCATATTTTCGATTGCTAGCTAAATATGATAACATTTTTGTAAAAAAATTTTTTATGGAAGTCTGAACGATCAAATCTCACTTGAGGTATCACTAATATAGGAGAGGAAATCTCAAACTGCGGGCTTCAGAACGGTCTTTGTCATGGTAGTCTCCGCTAAGATGAATATATTATTTCGGTTAAATTGTTTGCCCATAAGAAAATACTAAAGTTTAAAAAATATATATATAATTGTTCGGGTACCAAGATTTTTAGAATTTATGATTTTTTTTTCATTTTTAGTAGGTAATTTTAATGGTTTGTTATTCTCCGATGATCTTCGTGATTAGAATTAATAATTTTTGGGTTTTCTGTACCTAGTACGAATAAAATGAAAAATAATTCGCTGGAGATATATAAGATGGTTACCTCCTGGGTAGCCTCCTGGGCCGCCGGCTGATGGGGGACCGTATGCACCGGATGGCCTGCCACCTCCGTTACCGTTGCCGTGACCTCCGTTTCCACCTCCGTTGCCGGGGTAACCTCCTGGACGGCCACCTCCGTTGCCGCCTCCCTGGGTCGGAGGAAGGTAGCCGTTGCTGGGACCAGCGCCTCCGGCACCTGCCAAGCATAGTCGTTTCGAGCCGGTCAGTATTTAATGTACTCAAACGATACAAGAAGCAATATGATCGCCTATACTACTACCTGGATAACCACCGCCCGGGGCTCCAGCGCCTCCAGTGGGGGCCCCATAGCCGTTCCCTGGCGCACCGCCTCCGTTGGGCGCTCCGTAGCTGCCACCGGGAGCTCCGCCGCCTCCAGTGGGTGCTCCGTAGCCGTTCCCTGGTGCTCCACCCCCAGCGCTTGGTGCTCCGTAGCCATTTCCTGGCGCTCCACCTCCAGCACTGGGTGCCCCATATCCATTACCGGGAGCTCCTCCTGGTCCTCCAGGTCCTCCACCGTTCGATGGTGGTAGGTACCCTCTCTCTAATCCCTCTGAAAAAAGGTTTATCCAAGTGTCGACATATCAACCTAATTTTATTACTCATACAATACTTTAAATTCTTCGAAACCTTTCACTTACGGTTATCGAGAATGCTCATTTATTAATGAAAAGAATTGGAGGTTGTAATGTTTTTATATTGGAGGTAATTAAAACACTAAGCATGCTTATAAAATATTGGTCTAATAATTGAGACTACTTACCGAGCCTGGCTCTCTTCTGCCGGACCAGCTCCGCCGATGTTGGGAGGACCCAGACCATGGCGAATGCGGCCAGCTGCAAACAAGTTCAGGAATGCTAGCTTCATTTTGTTTTCAATGATCGAAAATCATTATATAAATTCTGAATTTGAGATATTGAAGAGAAACTAATACCTTCGCAATTTCTCTTTTGCGTAGTCGGTCATTATTCATTTATCGTAAATAATTCAGTGATATAAACTGTTCTACGATGTATTACCTCATTTTTTTTTATCTATTAAATTATTATAAGAAACTTAAACGGAATCTTTTTCTAATGGAAACTTTTATTATATTAAATGTTCAATATCTTTCAAATAAATTCATGCTTCTAAAAGCCATTTCGTTACAGCAATACGCTACTGTATTAAACATGTGATAGTCTCATTTCATTTGATAGGATACCTTTAACATTGTTCCAGTTCACGCTACATCAATAAATTGTGGCTAGGCAAAATAACTTCCAAATCAGTGTATCAAGTCACGCGACAAGATAATCGTGTGTGTTGAGTTCAACTAAACATTTTAGATGGATAATGTGGAGAGTAACAGATTCTGTTAACGAACGGTTTGATTTTAATGGGTTAGTAAGTTATTAAATTATCAAGAAATTAAAACTTTGTATAAAAAAATAAATATATCTATACAGAATTTATTGTTAGCAATGTTCAATTATTGAACAAGGTGTAACTAGGAAGGACGTATAGTAACCAGTGAAAATCCCTAAGTCGAGTGTATGATGAATATTGCTAATACTCTTACAATCGCCGAGGATATTCAACATCCGTAGTCTATTATATCATTATAAAATCACATTATGTTATGAATGAGGCCGATTATTGCAGCCAATCAGCTCCGAGTTTGCATAATTTTCTCAAAGTATCAAGTTGCATCAGAACTATTGCACTAACTTCCCGCTCAATACTTCCGGTCAATTCTGAACTGTTTTACGGAATCAAAGTAGGTGTATATAAATTGATGAATTATTTCATCGCATTATAAGATTCATTATCTAAGATTATTATTAGATTATTCATGATCAGATAAAATTTGTTTCTTACGCAGTTTACGCCTATTAGAGACAACTTCTCATCGGTTATCCATCTTGATTAAAAAAAAAAAATATTCTCGCATCATACCGAATCGAAAGACTAACAAAATTTCTCATAGTACGTCATTGAGTAGCACAGCAATTAAAAAATAAACAAACAGATTTTAAATGTTCAAATTGAAGCTCTCACGGTGTCAAATTTAGTCATCAGAGTTTTAAGAAACATTAGTTAGATTTTGTTAAAATTTAATAAAGACGTTAACAGCGATTTGATTTTAGCTTAAATTTGTTTATTATCCTTTATATGAAATATAACAGTAAATAATTTTATCAATTACTACTTTAGCTGAGTAACCGACTCTACAGAAAAGAAGAGACAGTCCTCTGCCGCTTAAGAATTGGGTATTGTGAATTTTCACATGCCTATTTACTAAGAGGACTAGACCCACCGACTTGCGAGAGCTGTAAGGTGCAAAGAACAGTCCAAAATATCATGCAAGACTGCTGAATATTTAAGAATATAAGGAAAATTTTGGATATGGCTCAGAGTCTAAAAGAAAACCTCAATGACAACGAAAAAGGCGTAGAAAAAACCTAGCAATTTTTAAAAATTATAAAATTCTACAACAGAGTATGAATAGGAAGTGTTTCCAATGACCCTGCAGGGTAGAGGCAACAATAAAAATAAATAAATTACCACTTCTATTATTTCAACTAAGTTATTATCTACGAACAATGTAATATTGTTTAAGAAATGGTTTCGAGGAATAACGTAAAAGTTTTAGAATCGGCTCATCGTAAAGATGTTTCACTATCACAATAAACGATAACGGCATTGTTGTTAAATATTATTTAATTTTAATAGATTTTCAAAGTTTAACAGTGACAGTGCATGTACCTGCTTGACTGTCGAATTTAATAAATAAAACTAACGAATTTCGACTTTGGATAGGCTGTTCTGAATTTTAATATTAATGAAATATCGTGCAAAGAAAATTTATATTGTATTTTTTTAGCTTTATTTAATTAATCATTATTTGTTTTGAGGTAAGAAGCCCGTACAAATAGAGTCTATCTCTATATTATACACATTATTACCCATATGGTATTACAATATTTAAATTTATATGATATATTGTATCAATTTTACCGTAAATTCAATTATTAAATTTATTAATGTGGAATTTAACTAGTGGCACGATTATAATTCATTTATCTCGGATTATTATAAAAACAGAAATTTTCGAATAAATGGATATAGAAAGAAATTATTTGTTTAATTCCCGCTTACTTATTCCTTAGTTAAATATGTAGGTTCAATTTTCCTTTAAACCGAGAATAATTGAAGTATATATTTGATCTTTCCCATTAGGTACAGAATTTATATTTGATTGGTACTGAAGCAATCCGACATAATAGCTCATATTTTTTACTCTATTGAATGCACATGCAGCTGGAGTTGATACGGAAATACACAACCTATTAAATTAATGATGAATGTTAGACACGGCCCTATAATAATGTCAACTCTTAACTATTGTAATTATACAAAGGCAAACCTCACAAGTTTAAAAGGTTACAGATTATTATGCTCAGTAAATAAGCTCATCGCGTGTCGTGCGGTATGGTATCTCTTAGCCCCGTGGCCTACATCTTTTCGAAACGCGTGACTATAATTCCTAACCATATAAACAACGGTATATGGTTTTTATATATATATATATATATATATATATATATATATATATATATATATATATATATATATATATATATAGTGAGTGTTGAATTTTTTGATCTGCAAATTTATATTTTAAAAGTTGATATGTTATATACCTTTAAAATACAATGTTTAATTAACGGTAAACATAATTAAAATTTAAACTTAAAACTTTTCAGTTTATGAGGATATCGTGAAAGAGATTTTGTAAGTATACATAATAATTTAGGTGTTAGTAGTTTAAATTAATAAAATAATTTATTATAAAATTATCCAAATTTTCGCCACTTCAGGTATCTTCTGATTTTGAAATATTTTGTCAATTTTCATTTGCGTATACCGGTACCCAGTCTTGCCCACTTAATCAAGTAAAGACAAAAGAAAACTTAAACTTACGTTCTGAATAAAAAAAAAAATGCAAAGTTACTGTCCTTTTTTAAAAATTGTATTTTCACTTCCTACTTATTAATGTTTATTTTTGCATTGTATTAATTTTAACAGAAAAAAATAGAACAACAAATGCCACGGTTTGAATAGCTGAACGGATTATAAGATTTTATTCCAGTAAACATTGCATATATTATTTCTGATCGAAACCTACTTGAATGTTAAACACTGTTATATACTTGGATTTTATTATACCACTTATAATTTTGAAAGTATTCTAATTAACCACTTAATGAAAATTATTGTTTTCATAGATTTGAATATGGAATACATCATCGCCGTTTGGAGAAGTACCTAAAGGTTGGAAGTAGGGATGTACTTACCCCGAGAAGTGTAAGTCTGCTGTTGTACTTCATTTCTGATGCTTGAGGTACCGCCTGGGAGCCATATATACTCCACCGACCCCTCCACTTCGGGGCGAAAGCAAGGACACCCCTCCACTGCTCCTGCAGTTTCTTCTCCATTGTTTGGGCTTTTTTACAACTCAGACTGCCTCTTTGGTTTTCGATTTGTGCCTGTCGTGTTTTTCCTATTTTGATGTAGATTGAGTTTTTCTTTTTTTTTTTCTCCCCCCTATCATATCACTTTCATGATTCTGCTTTATTGAATGGGTGGCTGTTTCACTTTTACATGGTTGGAAAGATAAATACATATTAAAAGTCGATTACAAGAAATACTATTATGTAACATAAAAAAGGCAACGTTTTTGCAAAATTAATACTACTTATTTATATTTTATAATTGCATAGTTCCTTACCAAATTAAATCTAAAAACTTTGAAACATTGCGAATAATCCGTGGTACAGACCTCTTATTATTAACATCCGCCTGACATTTTGTAAATAGCTTCTCAATCTGGAGAGCGGCAAATTTTGTCTATCTATTTAATTATTAAAAACTCATGAATACCCATTTCTTTTCCACTTGAATCGTAGGATAATATGATCACAAAATCGAAAAAAAAAGGTGGTCTGCAAAAATATTTGACTGCTTGGCTTATATAATCTCGTTATTTTGACATAATGGAGGTGGAGGCCACGCCAAACGGTCAAATATTTTTGGAGGCCATCTTTTAGATTTTGTCATCATATTATCTTATGATTCAAGGGGAAGCAAATGGGTATTTATGAGTTTTTAATACTTAATTATATAGACTACATTTGCCGCTCTCCAGATTGAAAACGATTCCAATAATTTTCGTAAATAAAATATTTGTAGGTTACGACAAGATAAAGCTATTTATGAAGTTTCAGGCGGATGTTCATAATTTGAAAAAAAGGAGTTTGTTTTCCTGTACCCCTGTACGGACCATTGTCGTTAGATTTTTATTTAAATTCCAATTGATAATTTTAGTGAATCCAGGCTTGTTTAATTAAAGAAAAATTATAACATTAAACATTAAACATTCAATATAAATTTCTTCTTATATTATTTAATGTTTATATTTTTCTTAAGGAAGAATGTTGTCTTATTTTAGGTATAAGTGTCTTCCGTGTATTCAATTTATTTTAACAGTGAAAATGGAGGTGTCTTTGATGATGGACAAACGTTAGACAGATGTATCTAGATAAATAAGAATTATTTAGAATAAATTGAATACACTGAAGAGAAACAAGTTTTCATATGTTATACGTAAAATATCAATTTCAAAAAATCTGTAACACCCTCAATCTATAATAATTAATATATATATATATATATTTTTAATCTTATTTATTGAAAATATTACAATCTGTTTCAAGGACATTTATAATAGTGTTCACAGAATAATTAATATTAAGTTCAACACTTGGTATGTTTGGACGCTCCAATTTCAGTTAGCTTTATTAAAAACTCGTGTTACATTACTAAGAATTTTTTTAGGTTTTGTATTATTCTAACAACTAATAAGACTCATAGCCGTAGTTTGTAATTTTCAATCTTAGTTTATATTTATGTGTTTTTCTTGGATTATTTTTCTCCAAATTTGTATAGATTATGTGGTAACTCTGCCAACACAATTAGCTCTTTAGGCCCGGGCTAAATGACTCACACTGCCAATGGGCATTAGCTAAAAAAGTATGTTGTTTAATAACAAGTTTTACATATATATATATATATATTCATTATTTTCAGATCGTCTTAGTGAGACATACGCAAGTATTTTAACAATAAGTCAAATGTTCGCCAAGAAAAACAGATGATAAAGTGGAGGTATACTCTCAAAAACAATGAAAATGTTTATAATTAGTTAAGAATAATCTACATTTAATATTATTTTGTACAATTTTTGATTTACATTTTTTTTTTCCTGTATCTCTCAACCCAAGAAGGGTCTTGGGCTCAGTACTATTTAGGGAAAGCACTGTTTCTTGATTTACGGTTTTGCAAGAAGGTGAGTTGACCGAGATCATACTCAACCGCCAGGTTTTTCCCCTTAAATAATTATTTTAATTAAGGGTATCCACTTTATAGAGGCTGTCTGTGCCCCAAGAGGGTCTACCTACCCATGATCGTCCCACGGCCAATGAAATAGAATAAATAATTTTTCTGCCATGAGCCGAGATTCAAGCCTGGGACCTTTGGCATTGGAAGCTCAGTACCCTATCACTAGCTACCAGTAGCTACTCCACTCTCCTTTTGATTTACTTAATTATGATATTATTTTCTGGAGGAAGGCCGTTTATAGCATGGAGGTTCCCAAGGAGCATCAGAAATCAGAGACAAAAAGATGAAGAAGTTTTAATATTCTTGAAAATGGAGAGCTATTTCTATCCGTACACCACTTCCTGGTAGAAACTTTGTATTCTTTGTTTACTCTTTCATATATGATATGTTGGTAAGTACAAATTATTTCTTCTAACCTTTATTTCCAGTTGCTGCTAAAAAAATACAAGCTGCCTAGAGATTCGAAATATATCAAATATTTTTAGCAGTGCGAAGGGATACCTAGATATAATAAGTATAACTTGCAAAAATAAGATTTTATTTTTCGATGGCTCTAAAATGGAAAAAGAAAAATGAAACTAGTATTATATTCTAACCATTACTCAGGTGATGAACGATACTCGGATTTATCTTAACCTTTTTATTCAACTGGTACTTGCAGGGTTAAACATAAGAAATTAGGCTTTTGGCCGATTTTGAAGGTTAGGAAGAAGGCTAGCGGATCCAGGATTTAATTTTGGGGGGCTTCAGCCCGAAAGATTTTTTTTGCTTAAAAATAACGATAATTACTTTGGAAAAAAAGAAAGAAACTAACTATCTATATGAAATGGTATTTAAGTGATTCCTAAAGTCCTTTTAAATGTAATTACACGAACGATAATACTTTAAGAGATAATTAAAAAAAAAATGTTTCCATAAAACATGGTTATATTTTACCATTTTGGAGAGGAGGAGGCTTCAGCCCCAAAGGCCCCCTCGTAGATCTGCCCGTGGGGGGAGAAGCGCTTGGTAAAATTGCGTTCTGGGAAATAAAAACAGTCGCGCAATGGGGCAGACTGGAAATCGAACGGAACAAAAGCCTAGAAGGCATGTTATTGATAATGAAATATTTCCCTCTCATCCGGACTAATCTATCACTGTTAAAGAAAAGTCATTGAATGATTTGTGAACCATCTCTTGCCTATAACTTAAATTTTTTTATATTTCATGAATATTTTAAAATCACAATATATAATTTCTAATTGTAAAATTAGAACGAAATCATAGATTTCTTTTCCATTGTCTGGTGTAGCATATATACATATTCTTACTGGGTCTTACTATATAAAAAAAAATCATTTAACGATCTACTTTTTGCATATAGTGATTTTTTTTTTAGGTCATAATAAAATTTTTCTTTGTTTCTAATAAATAATTGGACAAAATTATTAATTTTTCATAATATCGTGGCATATTATGACCAAAAGCAGAATAAATAAAAAGATAATAAAATAAGTTTTAGTAAATATAATTTTCCATAGGAATTTTTATTTGTTGGGCGCCTGGCTTACCAGCCTTTCATCTCTAAAGTGATAAATCTAGAAAAAATAAGGTACTTACCCATTATTTGGCCATCATGTAATATTTATTCTACCATGCTAGCTCAGGTGAGAGGGGGTTAGGTTGAACATTTTTATGAAGCAGCAAACAAAGGTTAACAGATCTATTTACAAAAAGAAATATTTACAGAATTAATACTGTGTACAATAAAAAGAAATAAAATACTAGGAAAAAGAGAGAATTTAAACATAATTACTATATACAATTAAAGATAAATAGGAAGATATTTAAGATAATAAAGATAATAAAAATAACAAAAAAGATACTTATTTTATATACAATAGTATAGGTATGCCACATATACACATCAAGAAGCGAAAGTCAAGATATAAGATGTAAGAGCACATGCACATGCTAAAAATAGGAATTAATAATCAGGGACAGGAAACAAAAGAGAGAAGAGTTATATTTGTTTTCAATGCTTCCTTAATCTTGGTTACAATATAAATAAATGTTTTACACTCAAAGTGACTAGAGTTTGAAGTTCTATGTCTGATGATTAAAAGAAAAGGTAGCTAGGAAGAAAAAAAGTTAGATATTTCAATATTACCCAATTAATCATATGTGAGTTTAGGTTTAATATATAGGGGGTCCCGTAGGTAAAGGGGAATATCAAAAAGGTTGATAGTAGACATCAAGATCTACAAAAAAGTTAAACAATTGTTCAATTTTCAACAGAAAAGTGAGAAATTTAAGATTCGTGTTTTTTTAAGCGAGTCACTTTTTTTGTTGAATAGGAAGCGATAATATAAAATTTTTTGATTTAAGTAATTGAACATTACTCCATAGAAAACAATACAAAATTTACTTTAAACGAAAGTAGAGTTTGTCATTGTTAAAACTATTTAGAGAGGAGTATTAGGAGGACAAACAGCTAAGTTTCGTTTAAAAAAAAGTCACAAGTTATGTGATTTTTTTAATCATCCTTTAACTTTACTACATTTACCCCACTTTTACAAAAACTTCCCCGTTTTATAAGCTTTAAGTACATATTAATTTTTTTTTTAATTTTATTTTATTGAAATTTACAACTGTATTACATGGAAAATACAATAAGTAAATGTGACGTTGGCAACATGACATGTACAACAGGAAGAGAAACTGCCCATTGGTAAAACTCAAATTAAAGTTCTATATTAGAAGGTCCCGAGGCCATCTTCTTTTCCGACGCCTCGGAGGATTATCAGGGATCGAGGAGGAAGCAAGGTTTGAAACGAGAGGATTCGGATGGTTCTGCAGTTTGTTATGGAAGGATAGATATCTGGATTGGGCCAAATCCGAAACATATGGAACATTAAGATCTTTATGGATGATTTTATTTGTGACAAAGTAAGGAGTGTTGAGGATTTTACGTAGGATTTTGGATTGTAAGGATTGGATACGAGAGGAATTCGATGGTTTAGTGGAGCCCCAAAGCTCAATTCCGTAAGTCCAAATA